TCCTCTAACTGTCTTCTCAAATCTCTCCTGAGATCATTGTCTTCCTCTCCAAATTCTCCCCTTTCTTCTTTAGAGTCAAGGCTTTCAATCTTATCCATCAGTTCTCCCTTTCTTTCTTCTACCCTCCCAAACTCCACCAAATTCCACTCTTTGATTTTTGCTTTCAAGAATTGTAGTTTCTTATGGAATTTCATCCCCTCCCATTCCACCAGTGGGTTACACTCATACCACCACTCCCTCACTTTGTTAGTCAGCCCTGGATGAAGTAACTACATATTTTCAAATCTAAAGGGGGTAGGACCTCCACACCTTCTTTCAAATCTAAACTGAGATTTATAATTTGACTTGCTGTCTTCATGACAAGTTAAGGGCAAGGATGAATGCAATATGCCCCTATAGTGGGTGTTTTGGGTCAGACCATGGTTCAGGGGGTAGACAAGCCTTAAACTGACCCCTCTGAACCTGGTTGAAAAAAAAACCCTAAAAAAATAGAGAAACGAGCCTCGATACAGGCCAATATGCCCCTATCGGCGTATCAGCCTGTATCGATATTTTGAACCTTGGGTGAGATATAGGGAAGGATGGTATAAAGAGGCACTTTGATGGGTTTTTCTGGGGTTTTTGAGTTGATGATTTCCATTTTCTAGAGAGAGAATTTCTAGTCTAGGGTTTTTTAGAAACTGAGTAAAGGTTGTATGGTGGAGGAAACTTGCTTGAAGGTTGAAGACATATATGATTAAAGAAATTGATGTCTAATCAATGGAATTAGTGCTTCAATCAATATTTAGAACCCCTTCATGGAGATTAAGGAAGATCATTTCAAGTTGCTTAGAACTCGTGGAGAAGTTCGATTTGAGGGTCTCCTATTGACACGTCTTTCGAGAAGCGAATCAATTTGCTGATCTTCTGACTCATGAAGCGTTGAAGAATATTGTGGATTTTCTTTATTTAGATCTGTGTAACCTCCCAAGGAATCTAGTTCTCACTTGCTTAGCTGACTCTTGGGGACGTGCTACCCCCCGTCTTGTGTAGTACATTCCAGTTTTCATCTACATATATATATATATATATATAGAGAGAGAGAGAGAGAGAGAGAGAGAGAGAGAGAGAGAGAGAGAGAGAGGTAATTAGGGTGGCTCTGGTTACTGTTTCACCATAATTATGAAATTGTCACTCCACACCAATTAACTGAAAAATACTTCAACTTCTAGCCTGTTGGACTAATCATAGTTGTCAAGGTGCCAAGGTGCAGCTAGGCAAGAGGGGGGCGTCTTGTCACCTAGGTGATGGGTTTTTTTGAAACAACAAAGATTCCTAGGGTAATTTCCCAAGTTTCATATCAACCAGCAATCATCTTTCACTAATAATAAGCAATATGTTTCACCAAATAAATGAAAACCTCATATCAAAACATAGAAAATTAACATATTCATAAGAAGAAAAGAAGAAAGAACAGAAAATTCAGAAAAGATAAGGACCGAGCCCTTGTTTTGTCCTAGATTGAAGAATAAATATAGTAAAACTGTAAAAGGAAAGGAAAAAACTTAGTTTTTACCCCTATGACTTAAATTAGAAAAAGAAAATCAGAAAAAACGGAAGATTCATAGGCTCAAAACTTAAGGAACACTTTGATGCTCATACCAGCTAATTTCTTTAGGATCTTTATATTACTTTTGGGTTTGTAACTTCATGTTTTGTGCACTACCATATCATTATATTTATTTGTGATGCCAGGACTTGTGTGGATCAGTGCAAGAAGTCTGGATGCATTGGAGATGCATGTTTTGCAAGTTGTAATTCCTCTTCTGGTGGTATCTCCATCACTGGTCAATGGAGCATGAAAGAACCACTTTACCTGCGTTGGAAACAATGGGATTGTCAAAGCGACTGTAGATATCACTGCATGGTTGAGAGAGAGAAAGAACGAGAAGTACTTGGTGCAAGACCTGTTAAATATCATGGAAAGTGGCCCTTCAGGCGTATTTTTGGGATTCAGGTTTGGTTTAATAAGTCATTGAGTGATTTCATATTTTGTGTTTCTCACCTAAGAAATAGAAACCATTAACTTACCCATTTTTCAGGAGCCTGTTTCAGTTGTATTCTCTTTCTTCAATCTTGCTATGCATTTTCATGGCTGGTTATCCTTTCTCATCCTTCTGTACTACAAGTTGCCTCTAAGGTCTCAAAGTAGGAAGACCTATTATGAGTACACCGGCTTGTGGCATATTTATGGGTTCTTGGCAATGAACTCGTGGTTTTGGAGTGCTGTTTTTCATAGTCGGTGAGTTGATTGGTTTTCACCTTTATTTGTTATTTCTTAGTTTTATTTAAGACAAATGAGAAAGAAGGGCCGGATTCTAGATTGTCCTAGTGCAAACTCTCTATGTACAACTTGGTCTGACAATGTCTTTCTGATTGACAATACTTCCTTTCAGCTTTTCTAGATGCCAAACCATATATTTCTTTTCATAGAAATTGCCATAGTAAGATAATTTTCCCTTTACTATATGTTTCTGTTTTACTTGTCTAATAGGACCACATCAGATAACTTTCTCTTTTTTGGTTGCATGGTGCTTTTCCATAAAATTTACAGTGATGTAGATCTAACAGAGAAGCTAGACTACTCATCTGCTGTGGCATTACTTGGATATACTCTTATTCTGGCCATACTACGGACTTTCAATGTGAGGGCTGAGGCTGCTAGAGTCATGGTTTCTGCTCCATTGATTGCATTTGTGACAACCCATATATTATATCTCAATTTCTACAAGCTTGACTATGGTAGGCTCTCTACTTTCAAGGATTTCAATTTATTGTGCTAGTCTTTCTGTTGTTGGTTAAGATTTCCATCTATTAAAACATGCATAAACCACAAGATGATACTCCAATTGCTTGAACCAGTGCTTGGATATTAGTTTCTACATTTAAAATTGGATGGTTCCAGTCTTTCCAGATATTGTTAATGTAGGTCAAAGCAAAAATTGAGTATCAAAGTGCACAAATGAGGCTCTATAAATTGGGGATTGGGTGGGGTGGAGGAACTACCTCTAGAAAACAACTAATCATGGTTTCTCTGGCAGAAAAACCAACATTTTTTTTGCACCATTTCAAAATCTTCCAGAAATCCCAGAATTTTCCATTGAGCATACTAATCTTAGCTCTTTATTAGGTCTGGTTCGAACCTGAATCCTTAAAGAAGACTTGAGCAACACCTTAATGTAATACTAATATGACAATGTTGTTCATATAGGTACACAACCCTAAACAATGGGTTGGCTACATGAATCCTGTTTTTCCAGTCTGTTCTATTTAATGCAATGTCTGTTGTTAAATAATTGGCGCTTAAATAATTTCTTACTACCACCCATGTCCTTTTTGGTCTACCTCTTGTCCTTCTAGCCCCTTCAACTTGTAACAAATTACTTTTTCTTATGGGTGCTACTGATGGTCTTCTATGCACATGACCAAACCATCTTTGTCTACTTTCTCTCATTTTATCACCTATTGGATCTACTCCCAAGTCCCTGCAAATGACTTCATTATGATCCTATTCTTTCTAGTTTTTCCGCTCATCCATCTCAGCATATGCATTTTTGCCACACTCATTTTCTGGACCGGGTGTTTCTTGACTGCCCAACACTTTGCTCCATGCAACATAGGGTCTAGGTCTGGTTCTCCCATAACACAGACCTGACTAATCCAACTGCCCTGGATTCTTAAAATAGCATAAGTTTATTCTTTATAAACTTTTGCTCTGAAGAGATTGATAAATTGATAATATCCCCCTCCTTGCATATAAAGTTTTTGTTAATTAAATAATATCAAAATTTAGACCTCTCTCTTACATGTATCAATGCTTTGAAGTACCAAGAGAATGATTCAAAGAACCAGGACTTCCAGTTAGGTAATTCATTAGTCTCGAGGTGAAACTTAAACCTCATGGGATATCATTTTCTTTAATGAAACATGGATTAAACTGAGGAAAAAGCGAAGAATGTTCATAAAATTAGGAGTAGATTTTTATGATTTAACAATTGCATAAAAAATTGAAGATGCGGAAAGTTGGTTAATATGTTGGTGCCTATAACCATCTCAAAGCGAGTATGCATAGGAGTTGTCAGTCAAGTGATTCTGGCATGGGATCATAAATGAATCATGCTCAGGCCTAAACTTCTAATATTAACATAGAACTGAGTTTTTTTTTCTGATGAAAATATTAGTTTCCTCTTGCAGTTATTTTGATTCAAGGGTCTAATCTTTCAGTAAATCTTGCAGGATTAAACATGAAAGTGTGTGTTTCTATGGGTGTAGTTCAGCTTCTCCTGTGGGCTGTTTGGGCTGGTCTCACTCACCATCCTTCACGTTGGAAGTTATGGGTGGTTGTTGTAGGAGGTGGTCTTGCTATGCTTTTGGAGATCTATGATTTTCCTCCATACAAGGGATTTGTTGATGCTCATGCTCTATGGCATGCCACTACCATCCCCCTTACCAATCTGTGGTGGAGCTTCATCAAGGATGACGCCAAGTTTAGGACTATGAACCTTGTCAAGAAGGTAAGATAACTAATATTGTTATGGCTTTGTAGGTTTCTGCTGGTCAACTGTTTCTAGAGGGAATGCCAAAGAAGGTAAAGCAAAGTATATTTTTCCAAACGAAAACAAAAGAGCAAGATATCGATACCATCATACTGATGTTGACTCGACCACTCAACTTAATTGGTAGTGTGGATTTCTTTGTGCTTTGGAAGTTGGAACATTGAGGCTATTGTTTTTGATTACGATGATTTGGGTGTTGGGATACTGATACATCATTATCATGCATGTTGAATTAGTTTTCTTTACTCCCTTTGTTTGTAAGTGCAAATCTAAAGGTATTCAAAATATTCACCAGTTTCAGATTTGTATGTCTTTGCAACGATGGTTTTGAATACCTTTGTTTGGTCTCATTTGCACTTTAATGGCAATGCAAATTTTGCATCCCTCTACTTTTCTTCTCATACAAAGTGGGAAGTGGGAACCATATATCGTTTTTCTTCTCATTTTATTCCATGCAAACAAACAACTTTCCTAGTTCCTATTATTTTCCCTTGTATGTTGCCATGTTGGAGATCGTATACTTTTGCTACCAAATTTACTCCTCCCAAACAAACAACACTCCCATGCGTTTGGCTTAGTTTATTTGGAAGTGCAAATGAATTGAATGAAATTTTACTTTGTTTTGTTTATTTGCAATGCAAATTGGATAAAATACAACGTAAACAAAGTAAAAGCTAAAGCAAAAGTAGATCAGAATTTATGCTTATCTGATCTGTGCTCCTATATGCATTATACTATCGCAAGTAAAATTGCATTGCAAAGAAACAGAGAAATAGATACAAATGAACTTTGTTTTGAAAATAAACAGAGACTAGGCTCAGTATGGAAAGTGTGCAAATACAAATACATACGGTGCAAAGCCTTATATTTTGTATTTTTAAACCTGTATTTGCATTATATGTACGAAATAATGTAAAATACAAGGTTTTGCACTGTACATACAAAATAATTCAAAATGCAAGGTTCATTTTTTTATGAACACTCCTAATTCACCTATTCACAACCCACAAGAGAGTGGATATTCTGCCAACAAAACACAACCCAACACCCTTCCAACATCGCCTAGTGTATCATGCACTCTAGTCTCATGATGAGATGTGCGGTATTAGATCATGTTGGTAGGGTGTTGGAATGCCTTTTATTGGTAAGAGATCAAAACTCCCTATAAAGTGCTACAGATACACATTGGAAACAACCCCCTGAATGACATTATACAAGTATGGGAGTATTCCTGATGTATGCTTATAAGTGTCTCGTGGGTAGGCATAAATAGTGTTATTGTGGGTAGCAGATCCAAACGCCTGATCCATACATAAAAGTAAATATATATACACGAATAAAAGGAAAAAATGGATTTACTGCCATCTAAACAATGTGCTAAGTGCTACACTGCTATCTCGCAAACAACACAGCCCCACACATTGGAAACATCTCCTTTATGTGAAGAAATCTAAGCAAAAATAATGTTCTACAGGCATGGGTTTTCAGCCACACAACATCTGTTTATGAATTTAACATACATGTATAAGAGATATTCCAAATATATGAATGAAATGGCAAATCACAAAGCTTTTGCTTGAAACTTGCAAGAGACCTAGGCTCCTTCTCTATTAGTTCTTAAAACATTGATATTTTTGTATTTTTAGTAAAGAAAAGAATAAAAAGATGAGAACGATTATTAAAACAATTGTAAGGCCAACTATGTTGTATGAAAAGAGTGTTGGACAATCAAGAAACATGTCCAAAATATGGGTGTGGTAAGAATGCTAAGATAGATGGGTGAAAAAACCATACAGATAAAATGAGAGAAAATAAACTAAGATGGTTTTGCCATGTGCACAGAAGACCACTAACATCACTATTTAGAAGTGATTTGTTACAAGTTGAAGGACTAGAAAGGTTAAGGGTAGACCAAAAAGGACATGGGAATAAGTAATAAAAAAATGATTTAAGCACTCTCACTTATCAAAAGGGCAAAATAAATAAATAAATAAATAAATAAGCATCCATAGTTTAAGATTGATCAACTGGTTGGTGCGTGGTGGCTCAGTTGGTACATCCATGGCTATGGCATTAGGATTTAGGAGATGCAGAATCTATTCCCACTGCCACCTTGGGGAGGGTTTATGGGATGGGGATAGGGCTACTCCCTCCTTGTGTAGCCCCTTTGGGAAAGGGTAAATTGCAGATTATTATTTATACTTCAGAGATAGTGGCAATTACCTCTTGAACTTTTATTTGCAACAAGACTCCTATGAGCTTTTAAATTCTCACAAAGAACCCCTCTCTTATAAGTTTAGTGATGGAAGAAATTAATTTACCAAAATACCCATTCAAGAAACTCCTGTAAAATGAAAGTTACAACAAAAAAATCATGAAAACCTGGAAATGCAACAAACATACATGCAATTAATATCAATTAAATCAATAACAAATGGAAATTGAAAAAATGTTAAAAATCATTAGAAAAAAAAATTTAGAGATTTAAAAAAGTTTAGGTGGTGTCTGGAACCAATGCCATTTTCATGAGAGGTGCTTTTTGTGAAAAGGGTGCTGCATTGGCATGCAGTTTTTTTTTTTTTTTTTTCCTATTTGATACCATTGTTGTCACTACCACATAGGCATTTTTCAATGTCATGCTAGCACATTGTTAGCATTTCCTTAGCGTATGTTTGGTTTCGTGGGAGTTTCTTGATAGACGTTTTTTAGATAAACACTTATTTGAAAAATGCTACTTTAAACGTTTTTTGCTTTTCTTATTTAATTGGATGTTTTATGATCGTTTCAAGTAACACCCCATAAAGTTGTTTTCCACCTCAAGTAAAATGTGTCACATTAGCATTTCATTTCAAGAAATGATAAGGCATTTGGTGAAATATGAATTTTACATTTCTCCAAATGCCCCATGCACATCAATCAAAGCATTTCAGTTTTCTAATATTCATTTGATAAATAGTAAAATCAAATAGTGGTTTCATATACAATAAACAACAATGCCTATGTGATATTGATGTGGCATTATTTTTTCAATAAATGTCCACAAAACCAAACATATACTTAAACCCTACTTTTCATGATTTTTAAAATGTAATTTTAAAAAACGGTTTTGGATAATGCATAACCAAACATCACAATATCTAAAAAACAGATAGATGTGAAGTTGATGTGGCACCATATTTTTAAGAATGGCATCAGTTCCAAACACTTGCTTAAATATTTCCTTGTGAAAAACGCTTATTAAAGGGTTTTTGTTGGAATTTAAAAGTGTAGCAGATATTTGTCGCAAATGAATGTTGAGTGTAGAACCCGTTTCAACAGCCATCATAGCCTTTGGAGTATGATGGGCGTCTCACAGGCACATCTACCGTGCATTAGGAACATCTTTCATGAATAATTACTTATAAATACAGGGAGAAGTTCCGAATGAATGTGCATATGACGTGCACTGTATAAGGAACAGATCTGGTCTCAGGAATATCTCCCAAGGCTGTTTGAACGGTCTTGTACTGACTGAAGCCGATCTCGGCAATTGGCACTGATGAGTGGATATGGCATTAAATATAATGGATTGACTGAAATTCATGTTGCAGACGAGACGGGATCTGCTCCTCACAAATGGGCGCTTCACATGCACATCCACCGTGCATTAGAAATATTTCCTGTGAATAATAATTAATAAGTGCGGAAGATGTTCCTAATGCATGGTAGGATGTGCGTGTGAGGCGCCATTGTGAGGAGCAGATCCGGTCTCGTTGCAGACTCCTTATAATTGGGGCAATGCATGTATGATTCTGTGGACTAACCCCTGTTTCAGGAGGGATTTTCAGGACTCAGGTGATAAGGACAGAGTGAGCGGAGAAAGCTGAGTGACTAATTGGCTATGGCGGAGAAATGGAAGTCGACTGCCTTGCTGGTCATAGACATGCAGGTCTGATTTCCCTTCTATTGCTTTGCGTCCTGTTTTTGCAATTTTTTTGGGTAATTCCCAGCAAACGGGGGAAGAAAAAATAAAGAAGAGTAAAATATAGTGCATGTATGCTGACTGTTCATTCTCTCCTCATAGTAAACTATTTCACGTTCACTTACAATCTTTGCGTCGTTTTTGATGGGCAATCTTTGGTTGCTTGGTTTCTGTTTGTCGTTCTTTATTTTGCAGAAAGATTTTATTCTTCCAGGTGGTTTGATGCAAGTAGCCGGGGGTCAAGCCATAGTCCCTTCTGTTGTAAAGGCCGTTGAAGTTGCAAGACAGCGTGACATTCCTGTAATTTGGGTAACCNCCCCCCCCCTCCCTCTCTCTCTCTCTGCGTTTTTTCTGGTTTCCTGGAAGTGAAAGATAAGCTTCTCTTTATGTTCCTGTAGAGAAAGTTGCCCCAGTTTGATTGGTAGAAGATATTTATTACTTTTGTTGAGCTTACTAATCGAGGAAGAAAAACTGTGTTCTATTAAGCATCGGTTGTTCTCAATGGTAGTAGAGGATAGATAATAGTGCTTATTTGGATCATTACACATTTGTGTTGTTTGAAGCACTCCACATTAATCAAATAATAGTCTTACCAGAGGAATTGAATTTAGGTCGTCCGTGAACATGACCCAATGGGAAGAGACGTCGAACTCTTCCGGCGACACATGTATGGTGATGGAAAATTCGGACCTATTACCAAGGGAAGTGTGGGTTCCGAACTAGTTGACGGTCTTGTGATCAAAGAAGGGGATTATAAGTTGGTGAAGACGAGATTCAGTGCTTTCTTTGCTACACACCTTCATTCATTTCTTCAAGGCGCTGGAGTCAATAACTTGGTTATTACTGGTAAGAGAAAATCCTAAATTTGGAGAGACATCTGTTGATATATTTAATTCTTTTTATGATGTATATTCTATCGTGTTACATTGGTTTAAATTGCACAAAGTTGCAACTTAAAATCTTTATCTCTGTCTTTAGGGGTTCAGACCCCAAACTGTATCAGGCAGACTGTATTTGACGCAGTATCTTTAGATTACCAAACTGTTACTGTCATTGTTGATGCCACTGCTGCAGCTACATCTGAAGTGCATCTTGGTATGTTCTTTTCTATCATATGGAACGGTTATTTGCATACTTATTTTGTTAGATCTTTGTTGTATTTGGTTTTCTTACATGCCTACATTAATCTAACAACCTTCTCTAGTAGAAATGGTGAAACTGAAGAACATAATTAAGAAGGATCCCTTAATTTCATTAATGTATTTCTCATTTCCCCTGCAGTAATGATATTTAAATGATTTCCTTGATCCTAGTCACCTTTGTTTTTACATGAGCTATGAAGACTATCTCATATCTCATACTATCAGATGATGCGTTATAGGTCTGTCATCCAATGTATTAATGAATGGTAGGTTCTGGCAGCAGTTAAGTTGGCCATTCTCTTGTATGTAGTGCAGGACCTATAGAAGGCCCATGATATAGCCATATCAAAAATCTGAAATTCCAGGAATATTAGAATCAAATAACACCATATAGGTGTTCCAGCAATGAAAAGTATACCCATCTTCTGAAGTAGGGCTTTTTGATGATGATATTACTTTATATGGATGGTATTTCCTTGTATCCCTTGTCATTAAGGTATTCTTGTTTATTCATTTTCCCTTGAACATTTGAGGCATATTTCTAGCACTTCTGTTGAATACGAGGTGGAAAGAATGCTCAACTGTTGGCAAATTTGTGAGTATCACAACACTTTCTTGTTCCAACTATATGGGGTCCTGAGGAGACCAGCACTTATGTTGAATACCAGCCCTATGAGGAGACAGCATACAACTCAACTCACCTGAACTCAACAATTTACTATTCCAACTATATGGGGCCAGCTGCTTGAATTTTGTTTTTCCGTTTCATTCTACCAAGGGCCATACCCTCTGTCAAATTCTGAGCCCTCAAATTACTTATCACAACATCAACTGAAGTCCTTTTTGGCCTTTCCTAGACTTTTTAGAACTACCAACTTGCATCAGATAACTTCTAACAACATCTATGTGGCAACCACAATTACTAAAAGGTTCTGTTCTACCTGATATTGAAACATGTCTTGAGCATTTTACTTTTCCCATTTCGAAGTTTTAATTCAGCCAGATGGTAAAGCAGCATATAAAGGTTGAACTGGTGGATCATTTAATCCACATAAATATTACCTTTTGGAGATTCTTTGATGAATTGAAGAAGAAACTGATGACTTTTCATTCTTTCATTTTTACCAGTCTCATGATCCCATATTTGAAGTGCTGAATAAGAAGAGGGATTAAAAGTATTCTTTTTTGAGAAAATATCACCTACATTTGTTGTTAAGTGAAGATATTTAATTGTTGTCTTGTACTTTTATTTTGGGGGGAGGGGTTTGGGTTGGGTGCTTAAAAGATCCCCCTTGTAAATGGAAGCACTCATGTCACAATAGGTAAATAATACAAGTAGGGCAAAAAAAAAAATATTGGATATAGCTAAGGAAATTGGAGATAAAGTAGCAAAAAGAGGTCCCCTTTTACATATAAGGATATGAAACTAACACAAGTTTCTTTAGGTGTTGAAAAAACATCACCCTCTCAATGAATATGCTTAGCTAGGATCTATACTAACTGCATTTGTGCTTGAGTGGTTGGTTGTTATTAGGCAATCACTATTCCAAAGATGACCAAATAAATGATCTTAATTAACATCGTAGTTAGGTCAAATGAAACATAATAGTTAGCTAAAATATACATCATAGTTATAAGCTAATTATAATAAGTTTTTTTTTTTCTCATGATTAATATAAGTTAATAACATTCATAAAGGAATGAAGTCCAATAGTACAGGTTTGATTCAGTAGTATAGGCGTAGAAATATGTAATCGTAGATTTTAAACGTGCATTTGCTATTTTATTCTTCAGTTCTGTACACGATAGTATCTTTATTTCTTTGAGATTTAATGGATATATTGTAACTGTGGAATTTCTAGCCTCATATTAGCCTTGCAGTCATAATTTCTTTTTTTCCCTCTAATTGATCTTTCATTCTTTTATTGTTTATATGAACCTGGAAATAACAAGAACTCATTTCTGGTCAATTTCAGCTTTGATATTTTGATTCATGGTCACCAGGAAACCTCTTGACATGGAAATTTCATGCACCAATTCTTTTAAGTATTATCTCTGGTAGAACACAGCCATTACCTTGTTTTTCATATTTTATAGTACAATTTAGAGATAATTAAGTTTAAGCTGCAAGAATCCATTGGTTGACTTTGCCACTTAGAGCTATGAGTCCAGTCACAGTATCAATAATGACTTTGACCAGATGAATAGATAATTCTTATTGTACTTGGTATGCTTATTGAAATTATTGTCCAGAAATTTGACTTTTTATCATGTAAAACTGAATTAATTTCTCTTTCAGTTTGTTGATCCCTGAATTGTGATTTTACATGGTTATTGAACTTCTGTTATTGGTTGTTGGGCAATTTACCTCAACTAACAATCATGTATTTGAAATGCCTGATCCAGCTAACATTTTTGACATGAAAAATATTGGAGTTGCAATACCAACATTACAGGAGTGGATAGGGTCCGGTACTTGATTTTGCCTCCCTTCTTCAACAAGGCAATTGGCTTTGTATAAGTTGTCCATGAGATGACAAGGGTACCTTTTGTGGTAAAAACTTGGTGTAATAACTCGGGCATGATAATAAGGGCTGAAATTTCTACCACTGGCATGGTTATATATAGCCTCTGATGTACCATTAGTGAAGCAGTTGTCATGATCCCATATAGGATATGTATGATTCCCAATCGTTAGGCTACCATGACCGATAAGTTTGAGGGTACAATAGTGGGACATGAAGCATTTCTAGGCCGTGCCATCAAAATTGTGAACCTTGTTTGCTTTGGATCTCGTTCTCTGTGTGTTTGGCATATGCTAAAGAAATCTACCGAGCAAAAGGATATATTAATGCAACTTGTTTATGTTTGTGGTGGAGGTTTTACTTCCCACAAATGCTGTGCAATAAAATCACTTTTCCAGTCTTGTACTGGAAAGGACCTATTATATTGTAGTTTTTTTTTTTCATTTATTATTGGTATTACATACTATGTATTACAGGGGAATCAGGGGTGGGGCAGAGCAGGGTGCACCTGAGGCTGAGGCCCACTGGCCATACCACAGAGAAGCCTGCTGCTCCTCAGGTTTGATCCCGCCCTTCCTAGTTGGAGGGGTGCCAAGTGGCCATCTCTGACTACTGGGTCATTGGCATTCTATTACAGGCTATTCACATGAATGCTTCTGTACGTAAACTGTCATCTGAAGATTGATCATTACAACCCTTCTATGCCGATGGGTTTGCGGTCTGGATAGCCTATAGCCTCTCTGGGTCTGGGTATGAATGCCCAATTGTGATGGCCCCAGACTTGTGCAATCACATTTACTCTTCTTCCCATTGCCTTGACAGAAGCCAGACAACATTGATTTTGTGGCTTGTGCTGAAGGGAATGTGCCTCCAACTGCAGCATTACCTGTGTTATGTGCACAAGCTCCACCTCTATTGGCCCGAGTAACTTAATGACTTTGTGTTGTGACCGGGGTGGCTGAGAAATGCTAATGCTCGCAATATGCCAATATCGACCACAGAGCGAGGTTGTATCTGTTGAAATTCAAAAGCCATCCAATTCCAATATCCTAGGTTGATACAATTCACCAGCTCTCCTCTGCATTGGAACATCATAAGCTCAAGGGATTAGGCTCAGACTCAAGAGAATTCAAGGGTTAGGGGCCTACTCTACCCCAGTACCCTACGAGCCAGCCAAAGAATCAGCACTTCCACGTGGCAAACCGATGCTGGTGTACACGCATGAGACATTCAAATCTGATGGTATTGAAGGGTGATTTGGTGATGAAGGCGTGTAGGTTAAGGTTAGGTAAGGTTTGTTCATTGACAGGACAAGACGACACACCAGAGGCAGGTCCAAGGCAACCCCTGTCCTTATTAGGCCACCGGGTGTCAGACTTATGTTTGATGTTGGCATGTTGCCTCCTCTACTGAGCGATTCTGAGGAAGTCTCGACTGAGTCGAGACTCTTCTTTAATTTCTACAATGCTACTCTAGCCGCGTTCCTGCGTCTGGGTTTGGCCCCCCCAATAACGAAGGAGTTCACTTTTGCTACGACGAGGGCCGTGCATCACGGCCTTCCATATTGATGTGGGCCACAGCAATAAATTGAGAGGCCGTGATTTCACGGTCAAGCGAAGGGTCAAACTGGTCGAGGTGGCAAAGAGTCCCATACACTGTGCACTGTCCTCTTCTCTCATGCATCCATCCATCTGAGCTGAGGCAACCTTGAAAGCCCAGATAGAGTTACAAGAATACCCCCATCGGATCTTTATCTCCATCTCGCTTACGTGACCGAATTAACCCTCATTGTCATTGGTATTGGCGTATTGCCCCAATATCAACAATCCAATAAAGAGAGAAAGAGGCCGATCTGGTATCGGGTTTCGATGATCTGTCTCTCTGTCCCTCTCTGTGTATCAGTATGTGGTAGTGGTACCATATGCGAATTGCTTCAATTCTCAATTCTCAAGAGCGCGACAGCTTTGATTTCGTTCTTCTCTGATTCTCTCAAGTCTCAATCAGAGGAATTACTATAGTGCAAGTGCACTCGTTTGTTGATGGATGTGGACTGTTCCAAGTTGGATAGCCGTTGGACAAGGTTGAGAGGGCATTTTAGTCGTTTGACGACCTCAGCGGCAACGCGGCACGGGACACAGCAGCTGCGACCTGCGAACTAGCGGAGCGGGTAATTCTGTTATTACTTACATTACCGACACCACAAAACCCACCACCCTATTCTTTTATCTTCTCAAAATTTCCACACTCTGGAGTCTAGTCCACCCTCCTCACCATGACCGCCATGGCATTGGCAACTACCACCACCACCACCTCAGCTCAAATTCTCCGCCACGCTACCAACTTCATCATTGCAACTCTTTCTCAGTCCCACCTCCGCCACCACCTCTTCTCCGTCTTACGTCGTAAACTTCCTCCCTCCCACCAGAACCTTAGCCCACTCAACCTAGCCGTTGAAACCCTCGAAAAAGCCATTTCAGTTGCTAACCATGCCACCAGATCTTCCATTCTACGCCTCGTAGAAAAGCTCCTCTCCTCTTACGCTGACAACGCCTTCTCTTCCTTTCTTCTGTCCCTTATGTACGGTCTCTGCCATCGCCCCGATGACGCCGCTCTCCGACTCCTCGACCTGTTCTATTTGGATCCCTCCACTGCCAGGTCAGAAATAGCTCCGTCCCTATTCGAAGAGCTCTTTCTCCTTCACCTCCTCCCGATCCTCCAATGGTTCAAAGATCAGAGATCCAGAATTTTGTCGTCTGTGTCGTCGGATTCCAGTTATGGTGTTGATGAACGGTCTGTATCAGCCGAGGCATTGGCAAAATCATGCACGAGATTACTGTCAAGGATGAGTTTGGATCAAGCGGCAAAGCTGAGGGAGCTGGAGAGGGACTACGAGGAGGTTGTGGACGAGAACTGCAGGGAATTGGCGGGGTATTTTAAGCAAGTATTAAGGTATAAGGATACAATTGAATCGATTTCTCCACCGCCGTTGATATTGACGAAGATCTGCCAAGGTGGAGATTTTCGGCACGATGTAGAGGATAAGATCAAAGTGGAAGAACTTGGATCGACCACCAGCGCCCGGTACAACGTAATGCTTAATGGTTAATTCATCTCTTTTCAAACATCTAGTTTTCTTGTTTTGCTCAATAAGATTGTTAACACGTGGCAAATATATAGCCACGTGGCAAAGCAGAACACCTGTAAACTTTTTGCTCAATAAGTTGTAGGAGGTATATTATCCGTATCATCCAAAACTTCCTAAAATGTGGGGGGAAGGGGAAGAGATATTTTGATGCGTCATCTTTCATGCCAACTGTTTCAATCTGCCACGTAACCACACCTTTGGCCACGTTGGATCACAAGTAGGTGTAGGTCCCGCCCGGCGCCCGCACAAAAATCCATAATGTGTGCAGTCAGATGGATTTGTATATCTTTGTATCACTGTATTTTGAGTGTTTGGTTGACGATGACCTTTCTTCTTTTCCCTAAAAACTCTTGTCCACTTGCTCAGGATGAAAATGGGTCAAAGAGAAAACGCGTTTTTTTCTTTCAAAAATTTGTCCTCTTCTACGGCGGCTTAATTTGACTTTGTCAGCATATTGATATGGTCTTTGTCACCTTGAATTGATCGGGACTGTTCAATTGGTGGAGCAACCTCTTGGACGGATTACGACCGGCCGATCATATCCTCGGAGCACAAGTATCGAGTTGTAGGTCATCACTGTTTCATTTATTGTGCGATGGTCCACTAATAAATTGGGCTGTTTGGAAAGGGTTGACTGTTATTAAAGAGTCAATCAGCAGTTTGTTCTCCCTCTTCCTCATCTGGTTTCTTGTTTTTCCAGCTGTTAGTTAATCCTTAGACCCAGTAATATGAATTTCATTTGTGGCAGCCAATTTGGGCAGAAGGAGATATCTCAGTTGAATTCTGCACCAGTAGCAGTAGCAAATCCAAATATCCACCATCATATCCTCAACGAGACTCCGGACATATCATCACAAACCAAAAACCAGGCGATCGAGACTCGAATTCCCGACTTGAATCTTCCATGGACAACAATTCGACTGATTATACTTCTTCAGAAGCGGAAGCCGAAATGGAGGTTATCAGAAACTAACGATAAACATAATATTGTTTTCTCTTTCTTGACCGATTAATCTATGTCTCGTTTCTTTTTTTCTTCTAGGCCTTGATTTTCAGTTTTCTATACTGTTGCCTTTTGTCTTGTAGGAAAATAACAGAGGAATGGCATTGTTCCAGTCCAACCAAAACCGATTTCACAAAGAAAAGCAACCTATGTCTGCAGATTCCAGCTGGTATTCATTTTAAAATGCACCCACCACTTTCATCGTCTCCTTCTTTTCCTCATATTTTTGCATTTTCTACTTGTTTTCAGTTCTTCAGATCCTCTTGTGGTGGAGTCTGATAATCCTTGTGGTGGCTGGAAACATACACCTCCCAAGGACTTTGTCTGTCCAATTACCACCCACCTCTTTGTAGACCCAGTGACCCTCGAGACGGGTCAGACCTATGAGCGTAAAGCAATTCAAGAATGGCTGGACAGAGGAAATTCTACATGCCCCATCACGCGCCAGAAGCTGCATAACACTCAACTGCCCAAGACAAATTATGTCCTCAAACGGCTTATTGCAAGTTGGAAAGAAATAAATGCTGGGGTAGTCCAAGGACAATATGAGGATCCACATTCCAAGACTAACCCATTGTTAAACTCGACGAGGCCTTCTTCTTCTCCGACCAGTGTAATAATGAGCCAAGCAATCACTCATGATATGGTTACCAAGCTACGCCTTGCCATCACCAACCTTTGTATGTCGGAAGTTCTGACGGAGTCAGAAATGGCTGTCCTCCAAATTGAAAGATTCTGGCGAGAAGCCAACACGGAGCCAGAAATTCAGAACATGCTCTCGAGACCTGCAGTTGTCAATGGGTTCATCGAGGTCCTTCTCAATTCCATTGATCCTCATATGCTGATGGTCACGGTATTTCTTCTCTCGGAGCTAGGTTCAAGGGACCAAGGCGTGATTGGGACACTTGCCAGGGTTGACTCTAATGTTCAATATGTGGCTGCCCTGTTCAAGAAGGGGCTTCTGGAGGCTGTTGTACTAATTTATCTATTGAGGCCTTCTACTGCAAGCCTTGTTGAAATGGACATGGTTGAATCGCTCCTAACGGTTATTAAGAAGAAAGAGGAGGATTTGTTTGGGATGTGCCTGAGACCAAAGACGGCTGCAGTGCTTTTGTTGGGGCAAATAGTAGGAAGTACAGGGGAGGGTAATGTGTCTATAATTGCACAGACTTTGGTTTCTGCAAAAGATATTGAAGCTATTGTTGAGAGCTTAAAAGCTGATTGGGTGGCGGAGAGGATTGCAGCAGTTGAAATCTTGTTGAGATGCGTGCGGAAGGATGGGAAATGCAGAAATTGCATTGCTAATAGTGCTGAACTGACTCTTGTTTTGGAGAGCTTGATGGGAGCAAATGATAGGGAACGGTTTACCATTGTTCAATTTCTTTACGAATTAGTTAAGCTAGACAGGTGCCACTCTGAGTGAAATCTGTTAATTGGATTTCTACTTTCTTTCACTTCTAGTACTAATGCAACATTAGATAATAAAAATCTTTGATTAAATAACCTGTATGGTTTATCTTCTCCCCCAGGAGGACATTCAATGAGCAGCTTCTTCGTATCATGAAGGATGAAGGTGCTTTTAGTATGATGCATACCCTCCTTATTTATCTACAAACAGCCCTCCAGGAGCAACGCCCTGTGGTTGCCGGTCTTCTTATCCAACTTGATCTTCTGGTTCAACATCTTAAACACTTTGACATAGCTCATTCATTTCTGAAACCTTTGATATTCCAAGAGCTTGAAAAAGAGTTGTATGAATTTAATCAAACTAAATTTTAGTAGTGACAGTAAGAAAATAATTGCTGTTGATAAAATAATTAGGGTAATTACCCAGTGTTGTCCTTGGGGCCATTGCTCCATGTAATGGTAAAATCTCAGGCCAACAAGTGTGAGAACACAGGTTCAAGTCTGAGAGTGGACACTGCCAAAAAAGAAGCCAAAGGTTAGGTCCATCTCCACTCTACCCCTCCCATACTCCATGTAGCTGGGACCAACATTAGATAATGGCCCTTTTTGTTACCCACTGTTGCTCCCAGTTTCCTGGGTCTTGGGAAGGCTAGACTGGATACAAGCCTAAACTTTGGCGTTTTTTGTGCAAAGTGGCTCTTAGACTCCAATCAGTTTTCTCATGCTTTCCAGCCTAAGATTTTACCTTTGCACCAGGCAATGGCCCCTACTGCTGATAAACTAATTGATAATTGTAAATTAATGTCTAACTGGTTTATTTGTCTAGGTGGAGCCAAGAAGGATGAGTATATATCGTGAAGAGGCCATAGATGCCCTCATTTCATGCCTCAGAGATTCTGAATTTCCCACCACTCAAATAGCAGCTGCCGAGACAATTGTAGCCCTGCAAGGGAGGTTCTCTTCTTCTGGGAAGCCTCTTGCTCGAATCTTTCTTCTAAAACGTGCAGGACTTGACAGAGGTTACAAAACTCTAATGAGAACAGAGAAGCTAAGCAACATCTTTGGAGAGTCTGAGGAGAATTTGGTTGGTTTTTTTGGAAAAAACTTTCTACTATTTCACATTTTTATTTCCTATGTGATTTACCTGTATGATCCTTGTGTATTTGTTAAATTAGCAATAAATAACCACTTATTGCATAAATTTTGTTTATTTTGTTTATTTTATTTGTTTTGCATACAAATTAATCATTTTTCATTGATGTTCTGATGATTTGGCAACATTAGGAAGAAGAGAGAGCAGCAAATGAATGGGAAAGAAAAATAGCATTTGTTCTAGTCAGTCATGAGTTTGGCCTACTTTTTGAGGCTTTAGCAGAAGGCCTGAAGAGCAAACATTCAGAATTGGCCACAGCATGCTTTGTCTCTTCCACGTGGCTCACATACATGCTCAATGTTCTTCCAGACACAGGAATAAGAGGAGCAGCTAGAGTGTGCTTGCTGAAGCAATTTGTTTCAATATTCAAGTCCAGAAAAGACATTGAGGACAAAGCTCTCTCCATGCTTGCTCTTAACAGTTTTGTCCATGATCCTGGTGAGTATTGGACCATTTAAAAATGAATACCTGTTATGTTAGCAGTTAACTACATTTACACATTGGTATTGAGTGCATATCAACATAGATATTAAGTGTTTTTTTTTTTCTTGTGCATCTTTTACTTTTAGTCAATCATTTTAATGGACTCTTAATTGGATTTCTCTTGTCTTCTTTTTATAGTCTGTTCTATTAGCTACTCCGTCCATTATTTTTTCATCTTGATTGTCTTTAAGTTGCATTTTCAATTTTACTGGGATTTAATGGTGGAAATTGTTTTGATATTTGGTATTGCTTTGACATCCAGAAGGACTGCAGGATCTTACTTTCCACATGAAGGATATGTTGAAAGGCTTGAGAGAGCTGAAGAAATCCTCTGCATTGGCATCCAAGATGCTGAGGGTTTTCTCAGAATGGCACGACCTTGGTCCTGTAGGTTTCTAATATCTATACATCCTTTTTCTGCTGGAGGGAGCATCTCAAATTAATTTTCCATCCTTGTTTGGCAGGATCTATGGAAGCATAAAGAGTTGATTCAAGTTGATTGCAGTGTGAATGGGGATGTGCTGTCTATAATTTGCTTCAAGGGCAAAATATTTTCTGGCCATTCAGACGGAACAATAAAGGTAAATGAAATTCCATCATTTTTTATTGCACATACTCAGTTCCAAGCATTGCAGCTAAAGAGTCCACCGGGCAACAGAGTAGGCATTTCAGAGATTGCCTAGTGACCAACTAGGCAGGTAGTATAGATGCAAATATTTGTTGAGAAAAAATAAGTAATTATTCTCATTCATACACTGATACAAGTGTTCAACCTATTTTAGATTAATGAAGTGTATCTATCTGTCTATCTACCAATACACACACACACATTCATATGTGTATGTGTTACCTTGAACTAGGGAGGTTACTCAAAAAATGTTGTCCATTTGAGTGATAGTCCGGAATAATATTATCAATCATTTTTACTGAAAAATTTGTGTTACCTTTATGTTTTCTTTTTTTTTTTCCTTTTATTAGGGGAGGGGTGGGCTGGTGTTTACCATGTTGCAGTTCAATAAGTTACCTTACTGCCTCTGGTTTTGATTTTTTTTTTCTAAATTTTGAAGGTATGGAGTGGTCGAGGTAGCCTTCTTCATCTTATCCAAGAAACTCGAGAACATACAAAAGCGGTCACTAGTTTAACAGTATTACAATCTGCTGATAGGCTATACAGTGGTTCACTTGATAAAACTGCAAGGGTATGCTATAGTAAAATTGTTATAAGACTGGTAATGCATACTTTCCACCTTTTGAAGTTGCTTAACTGTGGTGATCAGGTCTGGGCTATTGAGGATGAAGCAATCCACTGCACACAAGTTTACGATATGAAAGATCAAGTTTATAATTTAATTGTAGCCAACACTGTTTCATGCTTCATTCCACAGGGAGCTGGTATCAAGGTATTATATGGCATCGTGTATCTAAGAGTTTCTTCATTTTCAGATATGAACCTTTATAAGGTATGAGGGGGCTAGAGGTGTAATTGAGTCGAGTCGAGCTGAGTATCAGGCTGCTTGAGCTCAAGCTTGGCTCAAAAATACAGAGCTCAAAGCTCAACTCGAGCTTGATTGAGTTTCATGTATTTGACTCAAACTTGTCTCGACTTGATAGCTGTGAGCTACTCGAGCTTGGCTCGACTCAATCTGATTATACATAAATTAATATTAAAAATGATAAATAAATTAACATTATAAATGCTATAAAAATATATTATGAAAATCAATTATAAATGTATTTACTCATATTATAGATAAGTTAATGTCAAAAAATTAATGTTTATTTATATTATAAATACAAATATATTAAAAAATAGTATTATATTAGGGGCTTGATTAGGTTTGCGAGCCACTTGAGCCGGGTATTGCAAAACTCGAACTCGGGTTGACCAAGTTCTTGACTCGAGTCGAGTTTGAGTATTTAGCGAGCCAAGCCCGAGTAGCTTGTGAGTAGGCTTGACTTGCTTATACCCCTAGAGGAGGCTCTTGTCTGACTGTCATTTGAAAGACTAGATCAATTACTTGGACCATCTAAAAGGTTATCCTTGTCAAGGGGTAGATCTCTTTCAGTTTTATAATCCTTAAAAAGATGTTTGTTCATGCCCAAGAAGATTTCACTTATTTTAGGCCCCCTCCCCCTGAAGAAAAAAAAAAGGGGAAAGAACCCCAGCAGAGTATCAATTTCTTCCAATTAGGCAAGAGGGCTATTTTTGAGTTAATAGGTTTCCATGGATTTTACCATTGAATAGGTTCACTATTTTTAGATAATCATATTTCTTGTTTCTCAAAGATTTGACACCATATAGCATTGGAGAATGAAGTTCTGTTGAAATGGGACTGACATGTGACTTTATTCTTTCACTAGGTTCATTCGTGGAATGGTGGATCTAAGTTGCTTAACCCTAACAAATATGTGAAGTGCTTAGCTCTTGTACATGGGAAGTTATACTGTGGTTGCAGCGATAATAGTATTCAGGTGCTGAGTTTGTATTGGGATGGTTTTGTACTTGTTTTCTGTAATTGCTTATTGTTTATTGCTTAAAGTTTAAAGATTCTGATTGAACTTGAACTTTTAGGAAATTGATTTGGCTTCTGGAACACTCTGTACAATCCAAACTGGCTGTAAAAAACTACTAGGAAAAGCAAGTCCTATCTATGCAATTCAAGTTCATGATGGTCTTATATACTCAGCTGGCAGCTCTTTAGATGGATCATCTGTAAAGGTACCCTGTAATTTTTAAAATTTAAATGACTTTGTTGTAGTACTTTATTTTTATTTTGTTTTTATTCTTTGTTTTACTATGTAGTCATGTTTGATAGACTTGAAGTAATTGGTAAACTACTGCAATTCCTCAACTAAAACCTAGAAAAAAAGGGTAACAGACTCAACCTGATAGAGGACAATATTTCAAACTACAGAAAAAAAGGGAAAGAAAATATGGAAGATATAACGTTTCTGTACTTTTCTATATCAGTGGCAATGAGACTGGTAATGTAGGTTGGAAGTTATTGGCTAGTTTGTTTCTGTTGTAGGAATAGGTTTAATCAAGATGATGATCTAAACAGAATGGAATGGCGAAACAGGATTTATGTAGCCAACCCATATAGTTGGGGCATGGATTAGATGATGATGATGATGAGGCAGACATGTGCACATCCTCTGGTTTGCCACCTAAGCTGCCATTTGCTGCTCTGCCATGCAAAAAATAATAATAATAAATAAATAAATAAAAGGAAAGAAAAGAAAAGAAAATCAGAACATGCCCTGGTTAATCCCCCATCTTCTTTCAAATTTTAACTTCATATCACTTTTTTTCTATGCTAAATCATGATATTTGTTACATCCTTTTTAATTGTGTTTATCTTTTTGTCTTGGTACCTGTAACATGTACTTGTGATTTTATGATTTTCTGTGCTTCATGTTCATTTGGTTTAGTGTTTAAAATCATCAAAGATAACAATGTTTTGTCCTGATCTGTCATAGATATGGAGCACTTCAAATTTCAGCTTGGTTGGATCGCTGCAATCTACCTTGGAAGTGAGGACCATGGCTGTAACTTCAGAGCTGATTTATTTGGGATGCAAGATGGGGATTGTGGAGATTTGGTGCAAGGAGAAATATAGTAGAGTACAAATACTACAGACAGGAAGCAATGGTAAGGTGCTTTGCATGTCTGTAAACGGGGAAGATGTTTTGGTTTTTGGAACATCTGATGGCTGGATACGGGTAAATAGCTTTCTCATCTCAAAATTAAGAAAAAATATATAAAACTGAAGAAAAAAAGGTTACTTAATTTCCTTATTCTCAAAAAGATTTGTACGGAAGGCTCAGTTTGGAAAGAGTACAAATACAAATATGTACAGCGCAAATACATATAAAATAATACAAAATACAAGGTTTTGTACTTCTTCCAAACTGAGCCGAAAGGACATGGCATGACACTCCAGACTTTCAAAAGGTTATAGTATGAAGCATATATTTGATACTTGTTTCAGGAATTTTCTTAGAGGGGAGCCCTTGTTACTTTTGAAAGGTTATGGCATAGACCATATATTGCATACTTGTCTCAGCCATGTGCTTTGACATAACAAAGAGAACCCTTGATTCTATTTTATATATAACAAAGAGTACCATGTCTTTAGTTATTATTTCAAAAAACATTTTCACCAATCTTATACCAGTAATGTTTTCCAAAATCAAGGGTGGAATCTCTAGGATCTTTCCAAAAGATAAAAAGCAAAAGGAATCTTTTTATCTTCTTGTTTTGATTATTTTCCTCATTCATAATAGTCTCTTTTTGTGGACATGCAGGCATGGGGGCTTTGTTAAAGAGAATCCTTTAAATCTTGGACATTGTAGTTTAGAATGACAAATAGAATAGTTGATTCTTTCAATCATGTATTCTTTTTACACTTTCTGAAGCTTTTTGTGCTTTCCGTTGATGATAATTGTATAGTTGAAATTGAACTGTAATATTGTTAAGATTCATTTGTACAGGAACAATGTTTGAGTTTTCTGAAATGAAATGCCAATTTAATTTGCAGAATGCAGACATGAATTGAACTGTATTGTTAGGTGAAGCCAAAAAGTAACTTCTCTCTGTCTAGACCAAAGGAACTGTTTGATAACAGCTGAAGTGACTGAACTGAATGACTTAATTATTTTGTTTTTTGATAGATAAACTAGTCATATATTAAAATATCTAAGGGTATAATAATCAACCCAACATGGAATTTATATATTTAAGGAGTTCACAAGCTACTTAAAAGTCAAAGCTACAAGTCACTATGATTACTACGACTGGTTATCGATTAACAAATGTATATTGAGACTTACTTTTTTGGTATATTTTATTGCTGCAATTATACATCAAAAAGGGTCTTCTTTTTGTTTCCTTTTCCTTTTGGAGAGAAGCAGAGAAATAGATAGATAGATAGATATATATATATATATATAGAGAGAGAGAGAGAGAGAGAATGATATGACTGAATTTAAGTAAAGGAGAAGAGGGTCAGAGAGAGGAAGAAAGAGAGAATTTTATGCGAAAATGCTAATGATTTTTATTCACTCCTTCAGGTTATATTTATAGTCTTACTGTGTAACAACAATGCTACAAAATAGGAAATAAAAAACAATGCTACAAAATAGGAAATAAAAAACAATGCTACAAAATAGGAAATAAAATAAGAACTGCTCACCCCTGGGGCTTATCTACTAAAACAAACTAAGCTTATCTACTTCTGGCTAAAAGATATTCAAAGATATTAACAGACTAGAGAAACAAACTTGACCAAGTCTCATGCTGCCACTGCCACATAATTCATGCACGTATCAGAGAAATTTCCTTTTATTATAATGGAAAGATTCTCAAACCTTAACCCAAGCTCAATTAATAAAAAAAAGCAGCATCAATGCAAAATCTCAAAATGGGGCTGAAGTATTAGATGAAAAATTACCAATGAGGACAAAGTTTAGATGATGATTAGCAGAAAAGAGACAACAAACTACAAGCCCAAACAAATTCACCGATCAACACTAGCAACTAAAGACCCAATACACACCACTAAACAACATAATAGACACTAAAGGTTCGGTTTTGGAAGGAGTGCAAATACAAATATGTAGACTTGTAGAGTGTAAAGCCTTGTACTTTATATTATTTTGTATGTATTTATACTCTTTCCAAACTGAACCTAAACAACTATCGACAATTCTCTAGCATTGTGGTGTTTGCATTAAAGTCATTGGTCAACTGTTTAGTTAATAGTTCATGCCACAGCAATATAATATAAACATTTTTAAATGAATTGTATGGTCATGATCAATCATTTCATTGACCTAGTAAACATCTTTTTTTTCTTTTTCTTGTAAAATATCAGATCATAAATTGACCAAAACCAGAATCATGACCACATTAGTTGTCCAACTAGGGCTGTCAATGGACTGGATATTGGTCTAATCTGATTGGGTCTAGTATGAGTCCATTATAAATGGATCAGATCCAATCCAATCCAATAAATACTTTGAGCCATTCTCCATTAGTCCAATTCAATGTCTGGACCATTCAAACTGTTCAAGTTGGTTTTAATTTAGGTTGGGTGCAACCCAAATTTAGTCAATTGACATCTATACTCTTATCCTATGACAATGGACTGGATATTGGTTTAATCTGAACTGGCCAATATAAATCCATTACAAATGGACCAAGTTGAATTCAATATATATTATTGGTCTGTCCAATCCATTCAAATTGATTTGATTTGAACAGATTCAACCCAAACTTGGTCAATTAACATCTATACTCTTATCTTATGTCGATCCGATGGAATATTGGTTCAATCCAACCCAGTCCAATTCAATATGTCTTGGTCCCTCCAACCCATTCAAATTGATTTTGATTAGAACGGATCCAACCCAAACCTTTCCATTGACACCGTAAGTCCATCCATCCGGGTTAATGGCAAATTGAAAATTGTTAATGGTAATGAGGGAGTGTGTAATGGCAGAGATTGTAGACAATATTATTACCTAACAGAGGGAGAACAGAGAAGTCATTTGAACATTTCATACTTCATACAGATCGATTTTAATTTTGGGCAGGGCAGCACATGGAGATACAGCATGGCCATCCATTCACACAATGAATTCTGTTGTACACGTGATGTTGTATAACTGTGTCATGGAAAATTTTAAGTCATTTGTGCTTTGGTGAAAAGTGATTTCCGGTTCTTGGTCGATTTTTAAAACATTGACACGAACTTAATAATGTCTACATATTAGTAGTAACTGCGCTGGAGTCATGAAAAACAAATTTCAAATATGAAGTTGATTTAATCGATCATCCAATCCACACTGGTCATTGGTGACTAAAATCGAATTGAGCTGGAAATGCGAGCGGAACTTGAGTCCTAATAACTTCCATCTACCATACCACCCAAACCAGTTTTACTTTTACGTGTCTGTTTTTACAAACATGCATTCACTAATCAATCAAACCGAATTTTGCCACTTGTCATCTCTGACCTGAAATTTTCATGGGCTTACATAGACATGGATGATGATGATTGTTCGTAATAGTCAAAACCGAATATTAGACATTTAATGTGGCCTTCAACACAAATACCATATATCCATCCCTTTAGGAGAAGTATAACCGTTTTCAGTTATCGCTTCAAATTGTCTACAGAGCTACATAAATACATACATACATACACCAAGTAAAGCTAAATCCCTCAAAACCTGTAGAGCCTCCACACAAAATATACACTAATACCAACCTCTCAATTTCTATAACCATGTGGTGTAGATGTATAATATTTGGATTATTGATTTTGGCCTCGGTTTTCCATACAGAGGCCATTGTTGGGTCCAGTTCTCATCACCAAGCACAAGCAGTACTTGACACAGATGGTAATCAGCTCCAGGCTGGAAGGGAATATTACATCGTTTCAGCCATTCGAGGAGGTGGTGGAGGCGGAGTAACTATTGGTAGAAGAGAAGGTTCAAGTTCACACTCTCCCACCGTGAGACAACACTCCTACGACATGAATTTGGGTAGCCCTGTTACTTTCACTCCAGTATCTAATTCCTCTCAAGAGATACTTATTTGGGAAGAACTTGATGGAGTTCAGTACCTCAGACTCAGAGAGATGTCATCAGAAGAAAATAGGATTGAGGAACATACTGATTTGAATATCGGGTTCTCAGGATCAAAGAGAGTGTGGCAAGTGGAGGAGGCTAATAATGGCAGATCATCGTCATCATCTAGCCAGACAACAAGATATGTGACCCTCAGAGGCCAACCAGGTCAGCCAGGAGCCTCCACAGTGAGGAACTGGTTCAGGATAGAAAGGATTAGCAAGTCAAACCCCGAGTACCGAATCGCCTACTGTCCTAGCGTATGCGAGTCTTGCCATGTTGAATGTGGAAATGTTGGGATTATGGAAGAAAACGAAACGAGGTGGCTTTCAGTATCGCAACATAGAGAATTTCCATTCGTATTTATAAGGAAGGGCAAGGCACTCCAAGAATCAGTAAAAGCTCAAAATGGCTAGAGAATAATAATCAAATCAAATCAAATCAAATCAGTTAGGAGCTTGATCAGCTTAATTGCTTTCTATTTAAATTTCTTTCATTATTTTATTTTTTTCCTATCATGATGATCACGGAGCGATGAAAATTGGTGCTTTTGGTTCATTTTTTTCCTATGTAGCATTCATTTTTGTCTACCAGGGAAATATTAACGGGTATAATAATAATAATAATAATAATAATAATAATAATAATAATAATAATAATAATCAATCCAACAATGGGATTTAGTTATTAGGGAATTTACGACCTTCTTATTAATTGTATATTCCATAAAACACAAAGGAAGGATAAGAACCGTTATCTTTTATCTCTTCTTCGATCCCCATATTTTATCCAAACCAAAGCCCTAGGATTAAGAATTAAAAATTTGGAACAACAGAACATTTTAACTATGAAATCGGAACAGATCGACCAGCGATGTTTCTTAATAGAAACTCCAACAATCTCTCATCCAAAAATCCATTACGATGTCTCTCTTTCCTCTTATTTACTTTTTGAAGGAGCCACATGCTGCATCATGTCTCCTCCTATCAACAACTTCAATCTCTATAGATTTATAGATGGAGAGAAGAGAGGATGCTGGGTAAGCAAACTGATGAGCTTCACCTCTGGCTTCCTTATTTCTAATCTCCAAAGATAAGATAGAAGGGGATGGTTGGTTGCTCAATCCTCACTCTTCTACCCATGAAGGATCCTAAAAGTTTTCCATGTGATGTAGGTACTATTTATCATCCCTGCTATAACTGTTTTAAACTTCAGAATTTCATGGTTAAGAAGAATACTTACTTTTTGCACACACAAAAAACAAAAAAAATATAAGTCGAACAACTCATACTACACTACAATGTATGTCAGGAGAGAGCAAATAAGTTGAACAATCTACTTCTTCCATCATTGCGGTACAGGCTTCATTGTTCATCATTTTTTTCCTTTATTTTCTTTTCCAGGATTAAACCAGATTCTGAACCAATTCTCTACTTGATTATAAGACCTTGCTCGTTTTTCCCAAATAACAACATACTTACGTTGTTTTATGTGATTGATGTTTTTTTTTTCTTCCATCTCATGTTCCCTTGGAATCCATTACAGAGATTTGAAGATTTTTTTTCCCCTGTATTTCTTTATTACAAAGAGAGGTTGGCCAGGTCAAAATCTTTGTATCAAACAGCCCCCCTGGCCATATGAGAGATGAAAACAATGAATAGGGTTAATGAAAACTGTCACATGAAAACAACGAGCAAGACCATCATTAATTTACAGAGATTTGAAGATAATGAATACCGGAGAGAGTTTTAGGGTTTTGTTTTGGAAGAGACTATGGGGAAGACAAAGAGGTAAGATAACCGTTCTTGTCCGCCGTTTATTTTATGTTGTGCACTATTACTAATGTGGCATCGCTGGTCCATTCGACTCCTGATCTCCTGCCTACGAGACCTCTGCCCATGGCTATCCACAACACACTACCCCGTGAATTGTGAATTGAAAATCTCTCCCCCTGCATAATAATACTATGCAAAGAACGAGTTGTTCTCCGTGTGTGGCTATAATAAACGTGGATAGGAGATTCGGGCTCGGCTTCGTCGTTCATTGAAGGAGCCTTAAAAGCCAAACGAAGCCTTAAAAATTGCCACATTGGTAAAATAATATAGTTTTATTGATATGGCAATTGTTTTTGTTTCCAACAACAAAACTATGTTATTGAACACCAAATGAATCCATTCAAACAACAAGCAACAATATAGATCATGGTTTTTAAAACCGAACCAGTGACCGAACCGATCAGGGGTTTGGTTACCGGGTCGAATAGTCCAACTTTCGGACCGAATGCTCGGCCCGTTCTGACAAAAGAATAAAAAAATTCAAAAAAAGAAACGGTCAAAACGGTTAACTGCCCGGTTCAGAGGTTTTTGACCAAAATCAACGGGTGGGTTTTGATCGGTAAAAACCCTTTTCATATCATTGTTGGATTTTCCCTATTTAAATATCATTGTCAAATCATTGGTTGATCTGTTGTGTGACAGGATATCCTTATTCCACGGAGTATAATGATAGATAATGTAGATAGCAAAGCCATTTGAACATTTTTAAGAAAGCCTAAATTACTTCTGAGGTCTAATTTGTATTAAACGCTTAATTTAGTTTAGGGACCTTGTGGTTTTGTATATATACCTGCCAAAATAATTTCACCCTTAAAAGACTTGACGGAACAAGTTAAAGGATAAAAATGCCATTGATTATTCTTCAAATTTTCAAAAACATACATTACAATGGTTAAAAAATTCAGAGACGACCCAGATCCCAATTTCGTATATGGGTTGTTCTCCAATGAATATGCCCAAATTGAAAGAAACGGACAGAATTTTAAACTTGGTGTGCCTTGTTATGAATGCCTGTATGGGCGTGGTGGCTGATCAGATTATGGGCCTCGGTATGGTGGTCCTAGTTATGAATTCAAAGGTGGAGCATGGTTTTTAAAACCGAACTAATGATCGAACCGGTCAGGGATTTGGTTATCGTTTTGAACGGTTCGATTGTTCGATCCAAACGGCCAGCCCATTTTGATAAAAAAATAAAAAACTTTAAAAAAATTAAAAAGCGGTCAAAACCGTTCGAACGGTTAGTCGGCCGGTTCAGTGGTTTGTTGACCAAAATCAACAATTTTAGGGAAAAATGGAACCGGTCAGGTGACTAATTCCCGGTTTTTCCAGTCCGACCGTCTGGTCTGATCCGGTTTTGAAAACCATGAGGTGGATAATGAAACTTTTACTAGAATGGTGTTTGGTTTTATTATCATTTATTTGCTTTTAAATATATTTGCATTTATATTCTTCTCAAACGTGAGATCGACTTCCGTTAACTCACACCATCCCAATCACCTTTTTCAACCTTACATTGGGAATATCTCCCCATAAAATAAAGCACATAAGTACAGAAATATTCTCAATGCAAGGCTGTAAAGTTTGCTCGAAGCCCTGGCCGAACTCATTTGGAAGAGTACAAATACAAATATGTAGAGTACAAAACCTTATATTTTGTATGTATTTGCAATGTACACATTAATTTGTATTTGTAGTCTTTTCAAACCGAGCCTTATATCATGATGATACATTTAAAGAATTTAATCATCATGTGATATTAGTGCAAATGACCCTAAACGTTTCACTAATGGAGAAATTATTTGTGTTGAGACACCCGAGGAAAATCTATAATGCAGAAAATATATGATACAAAAAGAGTTTTAACCAATCAAAATCCACCTATGAATTTTGATAAATAACACTTAATTGACTATCACGTTTATAATTCTAATTGACTGGTTTAAACATTATTTTTATATCATATTTTTTCTATATCATAGTCGAACCCAGTTAAGTAATTTAAACAATTAATATTTAGACCCTCTTATTGATTAATTAGATGATTCATCAGAAATAATTAATAAATCCAATGCATTAGACATCACATAATTCTCAAGCTGCAAAAACAACTTTTGCCTATGAAATTCCTTGAATGAATCACCAAATCCCATACCGGTCAACGGTGATCAAATTGGAGCGACAACCCTCATAAACCAGTTTGTGTTGGTTTATACAAATAGGCATTCACTCATCAATCGAACTGAAATTTATAGCTGTAAATCGGGTTGTGTCGGGCTTGGGTTTTCAGGCCCACAGGCTGGTAAAATATGGTACGACAATACGAGCTGTGCTGGTATGGACTCGTTTCATGGCACGGCCCAACCCATATATATTAATTTTTTTAATTGTATTGTAATATTTTTTTAATTATTATTAAATATATAAACAATTATACATATCAAAATTTATATAAAATAAAATTTTAAGGCTTTATTTATCAATTTTATTAATTTATTTTAAAATTTTCATTATTTTTTAATTTTTTAAAAATATACCTCTTCTGCCTTGGCTTGGTCCATGAGTCATGAGTCATGAGTCAGTCCATGGCATGGCACGACATGGCCTGGGTCCTGGGCGATGCCGGGCTGGACCTCTAAAGTATCTCCAAAATTAGCAATTACGTGTGACTGGAAATTTTCATGGTCTAAAACAGATGTCATAGTTTGATTATAAGACTGAAAACTAATTAGTAGATATCTAATGTGGTGTTGAACACGATACCCATATATCCATCCTTTCAGGAGAAGATAACTGTTTCCGGTTATGACTTCAAATTTCCAGTTGTATGTATAAATGGGGAACTATATATAATATTGCACTCTCCCATATTCGGTGAAACTCGCTTATCCATCCTGTAGAGCCTCCAATAGCTAATACTGTTTGTAACTAACGCCAACCTCTCTCTATTTCTATAACCATGTGTAGATCTGTAATATTTGGGTTATTGGTTTTTGCCTTGATATTCCAGACCGAGACCACTAACGGGTCTAGTTTTCATCACCAAGCACAAGCAGTCCTTGACACGGATGGAAATGAGCTCCAGGTTGGGAGAGAATACTACATTGTTTCAGCTGTTCGAGGAGGTGGAGTAACTATTGGTAAGCGAGAAAGTTCCAGCTCAGGCACACACACCGTAAGACAACACTCCTATGATATGAACTTGGGTTCCCCTGTTACATTCACTCCAGCATCTAGTTTTTCTGGAGAGATGCTCATTCAAGAAGAATTTGTTGGAGGTGAATACTTTAGAGAGACATCATCCCAAGGAAATAGGATTGAGGAGGAGGCTGATTTGAACATTGGGTTCTCAGGACTAAAGAGAGTCTGGCAGGTGGAAGAGGCCAACAATGATAAATCATCGTCGTCTCATAACCAGACAACAAGGTATGTGACACTCGAAGGCCAATCGGGTCATCCAGGATCCTCCACTGTGAGGAACTGGTTCAGGATAGAAAGGATCAATAGGTCAAGCCCTGAGTACCGAATCACCTACTGTCCTAGTGTATGCGAGTCTTGCCATGTTAATTGTGGAAATGTTGGGATTACAAAAGATAATGGAAAGAGGTGGCTTTCTGTGTCACAGCATGAAGAGTTCCCGTTCGTATTTGTAAGGGCAAGACACTCCAATGATCAATAGAAAGCTAAGAATGGTTACGGAAATCAAATCAAATCAATTAGGCGCATGGCTGGCTGTGAGGAACTTGTTGTTTTTTTTAACTTTATTCTTTTGTTTCTGCCACAGGTCAAGGGAAGGGAACTTGGTGCTTTTGATTCATTTTTGTCTAAGAGTATTTGTAGCATCCTTCGTCATATTTCATGGCAGTTAATTCTTTCTCTCTCTTTCTTCTCCGTATTCTAATTTCTGAAAATGATCAAGAATATTATTCTCAAGTCAATACCAAGTTGGGCATCAGATAGACTAATTCTCCCCTTCCCAGGTACTAGAGCTTGTGGCAGACTTCAAATTAATGAATGATATATAAGAATAAGAGAGGCAAGGATCCAAATGAACATATTTTGTTGTCTCTTCATAAATTATGTGCTTTCTTTGCAATTGACGTGTTCCCTTAACATTGGGTCTTTCTTGTAGCAATATTCTTATATAATTTACAATGTAAGTATTTGGAACCAATGTGTTTCTTAAAAAAACAGAGACCAAATCAGTCAACAGCTGACAACCCTTCACTACTTAAACATTTCATGGCAAATTTTTTTTAAGGAAAGGATTCTATTAAAAGATAAAATAAGAGTAGAGGACAGTAGTGCTTGGAATGCGCTCAACTTTCAAAGTGGTTGTTGAGGCCGGCCGGATTGGATATGTCGTCCATTCAACACCCATAGCTCCATAAGTAAGGTGTCTAAAGTGGGCATGCATTGCGGTGTTTTCACTTCTCCATTGAAATGTTTTTAATCAACATTTGCTAGGATAACAACTGTTTTGGTGCCTGCAGCATCATGGTTTGGAAATGAGATTTGTTCCTTATGAGACTCATTTGGTGCACTTCACACCACCCTCATGGGCACATCTCACTGTATATTGGGAATATCTCCCATAAATAAATATGAGATATGTTGTCGATACATAATTGGATGTACCTATGAGTCAGTGTAAGGAGCGGATCGGGACTCCATGCATGGTTTGACACAGTCAGTTTTACTGTTGGATTCACTCAACAAGAAATCTCCTCCCCCTAAGGTGTTAAGTTCCCTGGACATTGGGCATCATTATTTCAAGTCTCCACATTGACCAATGTAAAGAATTTGACTCAGTTTTTTCTTGATTTTCGTTTCGTTTGGGGCCTTTGGTCCTATCCAATCTCCGGCACTGGTTTTCGACAATAGGAAACCATTGAAGAATTTAATAACTATAGTAAAGAAGGTGAGACTCGTGCTAAATAACAATGAAAATTGATTTATTTTCGATTCAATCATCAACAAATTTTAGCCACGTACCCTCGATTAAGCATCAGCGACAGACTGGGTTTGCTTGTTGTCACCAAATGGGCACACATCAATTCTAAGGATGGTGGTGGTTCTGTAAACTCTTGGGAGTATTAATAATACATATACATACATATATATTGAGCACTATCTAAAATTAACCATGAAAGAAATTGTTTTCTTGTTTGGGTGGTGAATCAATGGATCAACTATTTGGGTCTAAAGGGGATCAATCCATAGTGCCATAGTTAAATAATTAAGTTTTTAAAAAAGATAGAAATACAAAAAATTATAGATATATAATTTGGGCTACTATCATATATTTGTAATACTAAACAAAAATAAGTGTGATGGAGAAGAACTACTTTTATCAATGATGAAAATAGAATACACAATTTAAAATTGATCAAAACTGAAATTAATTTCTGTTTGGATGGCGGTTTAGTATTTCAACTATCCAAGTCAAATGGGTCAAGCCATGATGTCATAATTAAATAATGAAAATTTTAAAAATAAAAATACAAAAATATAGAAATTTCGTAATAATAGTTTAGGCACATCTCTAATATTTATGACGTCATTAATAAATGGTTTTATTAATGACGGTAATATAATGCAAGATTTTAAATTTACTTAAAAACAAAACTAATTTTTCATTCAAGCGGTTTGTCAGTGTTCAGTCATCCAACTCAAATGGGTCAATCTGTGATGCCATAGTTACATAATTAAGTTTAAAAAAATAAAAATACAAAAAAATTTGTAGAAGAGTTAGGCACATATCTAATGTAATATTACCAAAAAAACAGTACGATAGATAAGAATTAGTTTTACAACCCAACTACGGTAAATTTTGATATTTGTTTCTTATTAAATCTAAATATCAACTAAATAGTACTTATTATTAATGATTTTTGTTAAAAATTCAATTAGCATGTCACTTTTTCACTGGTTCAAAGTGTTTTGACTCACAGTGCAGTTCGTGCACCACAAAATTTTTCTTATTTGATTGATATTGAAATGAAATAAAAATTTTAAATCAGTGGTGGGAAAGATGACAAAATCATTTGGACATTTCAAAAAAAGGTTAGACTATGATACTAAAAAGACTTGAGACATGAAAAACTTGTAACAAAAACGATTGGTATTATAAAAGTGGTAACCAATCAGATGGTCATTGATCAATCGTGGAATCATGGGGGATTGACTGGTCAAAGCTTTTCCAATAGCATAAAGTTTTCCTTCAAACAAAATGTTTTTAAGGGTCAGTTTGGAAGGAGTATAAATACAAATATATACAATATAAATGCATGCAAAATAATACAAAACACAAGGTTTTGAACTCTACATATTTGTATTATTTCCAAAGTGAGCCTAATATTGAGTAGAGCAGAGTACATTGGCATTCTTGTAGCGCCAGGTGGCTTTTTGTGCAAGTGATGAGTTTCCTTAGCATGGTGCATGGATATTTTTGTAGTAACGCTCCAATAAAGCTTTTACTTGCAGTATCATCAATTTCTCCATTTTTAAGAAAATAGTTAAAATTTAGACCTTCTTTTATTTTGTTTAATAAAATTCTAATCAGAAATAATTAATAAGGCCTACAACATATTACACATTCCTTGATTCATCGAATACAATTTTTCGAAAATGAACCAATTGGAACCAAATGATCCTGGAAATCCCCATGGAACTTCCATCTAAGAGTGTATCGCCCAAACCAGTTTATGTGTGGGTTTATAAAATATGCATCCACTCATTAATCAAACTGAATTTTGCCCCATGTTATTCGTGACCTGAAATTTTCGTGGTCTCACACGGAAATAGTGGTTTGATCATATGACGCGTAACTAATTATTAGACATTTAATGGCACTTTGAACACAATACCCACATTTCCATCAATTCAGGAGGAATAAAATTGTTTTCAGTTATGTCTTCAAATTTTTAACTATATAAATGGGGGGGAGGGGGGGGGGGGGTCTGTGTTGCACTCTTACATGCCTACTGAAGCTAAAACCATTACAATTCCAGAGCCTACATTGCTGACAAGTGACAACCTCTCTATTTCCATAACCATGTGGCGTAGATATGCAATATTTATGTTTTTGATTTTGGCCTCAAATTTTGAGGTGGAGGCCATTGCCGGTTCTAGTTCTCATCACCAATCACAAGTAGTCCTTGACACAGATGGTAACCAGCTTGAAGCTGGAAGAGAATATTACATTGTTTCAGCCATCCGAGGAGGCGGTGGAGGTGGGGTAACTATTGGCAAAAGAGAAAGTTCAAGTTCACACACGCCCATTGTGAGACAACATTCCTATGACTTGAACTTGGGTAGCCCTGTTACTTTCACTCCAGCATCTACTTCTTCCAAAGAGATGGTTATTTGGGAAAAATTTGATGGAGTTCAGTATCTCAGCGAGATGCCATCAGAAGAAAACAGGATTGAGGAGCAAACCGATTTGAATATCGGGTTCTCGGGATCAAACAGAGTCTGGCAAGTGGAGGACGCCAGTAGTGAATCATCATCATCATCTAGCCAGACAACAAGGTACGTGACACTCAGAGGCCAACCAGGTCATCCAGGTGCCTCCACAGTGAGGAATTGGTTCAGGATAGAAAGGATCAGCAGGTCAAACCCTGAGTATCAAATCACCTACTGTCCTAGTGTATGCGAATCTTGCCATGTTGAGTGTGGGAATGTCGGAATTACGAAGGAAAATGGGAAGAGGTGGCTTTCAGTTTCACAGCATAGAGAGTTTCCCTTCGTATTTGTGAGGGTGGGTGAGACACTCCAAGGATCAATAGAAAGCTCAGAATGGATAAGGAGTTAATAATAATTAAATTAAATCAATTAGGTGCTTGGTCTGCTTGCTTTGCCTTGCTACATTTTTGTTTAACTTTTTTTTTTTTTTTTGTTTCTACGGGGGACTTGGGGCAGCACTTGCGGAGTTGTTGCTTTTGATTCATTAATGTTGTCTAGTGAGTATGTCCAGCTTCCATTATCATTTGGAATAATTTTATAGCAGTTGATTCTTTCTCTCTCTATTTTTTATTTATATTTTTTTTATTATGAAATGAGAATATTATTGTTTCATTAAGACCGAATCTGAAATAAGACTGATTGCTTCTCTCCCTTCCCAGCCAATGGAACTTGTGACAGACACAAAGTTCATATTAATAAATAATAAGAATTAAGAAAGCAAGGAAATAAATGAACATAAACTGTTTGTTATTGTATGTGTATGTATTTTCTAGTGCCTGGATCATCTCTTATTGTGGGTGTACCTATTTCACTTACCAATCAGACATACACAGCCATTCCCTTGAATACTTTATGGTCTGTTTGAGACCATTTTATTTTTTAAATTATATTAAGATTTTAAGATAAGCAAGAACAAAACAAATAGCCAAAAAAAACATAAATAAAAACGCTCAAAACAAGCAAAAACAGAGCAGTAAAGACCCTAATTAACTAGATAGCAACATCTGTATTCAAGCTGCGATTGGACCTTGTTGGTGAGCATATGGCACCAATCTCACGAAGCTGGTTTGTGCTTATGCTGCTGCATCTTCTTTTTTTTTTTTTTTGTTTTAAGGTTAACCGATGCTCGCTTTTGGCAAATGCAAGTGCTACACATTTTCTTAGAAGATAAACCATATAAACAGCTTTGATTTAGGAAACCCCAAACATGGACATTGGGTGCAGCTTCTTCTCTGTTTGTTTTGTTGAGTTTGGACCAACACAGGGGCGGTGTACGTGGTGAATATGACTAGAAATCATGGGTGCATCTTCCTCTTGCGACTGCAATTGTAGTAGGTCGGTAATATGGGTACTGAAGCTAATGTTTAGAAAACTGACTTGAAGGCGGAACTGTTTTTTCTTTCAGGTCACAGGTTACCTGTTCGATCATTCGGGTTGGATGAGTCAGACTATACCATATTAGCAATATGTAAATTTTATCAATAAATAGTGTATAATTATGTTCTAAAACTGAATCCAAAATCTTGGTCGAATGACGGTTCGAACGGTTTAACTAGTCGGGTCAACAACAAATTGAAAACACTGATTGGAGCAAGCTATAACCATCTGTCCTTTGAAGAGATCGGATTTGATCCTCACAAATAGGGGTGTCTATGGTTCAGTTAACCGAACCATAGCTATTTTTTCAAACCAAACCACTCTTACTAGTTTTTCAATTTCTCCAAACCAAAACAGAACCGGTACCACTGATTAACCGGATGATCCATTTTGGTTTTTGACCGATTTAGTTCTTCGATTTTTGGTTTTATATACATACATATATATATATATGTTTAAAATTATATTATAAATATTATAAAAATATATAATATATTTATAAATAGATAATTATAAATATAATATATACATATAATCGCATCAATATTAATTCTTAAATTCATATAGGTTTTTCCTTCAAACAACAATTGGGTAGGTTATAGATGGCTATTCTTGTAGCACCATGTGCTTTAATGTGCAACTGATGAATTACCTTAGCATGGATATTGTTGTAGCAACGCTCAAATAAATTAAGCTTGAGTTATACTATCACCAAATTCTCCATTTATAAGAAAACAAAAAACATTTTTACTTCCTTAACTTTCATTTAATCAAACAGTCATCATAAAAAAAAAATATTAATAAAGCTTACTATATATTATACATCCCTCAACTCACCAAAAACAAATTTTAAAATTGAAATTCCTTAAGATTGTGTTTGATTGCAGTGTATGCTAGTACAAATGTATTGGAGTGCAAATGCAAAAATGTAAATGTTTTAAATTTTACTTTATTTTGCTTTAGGTCTTATTTTACTTTATTTGTACTGCAACCAAATAAACTAAGGTAAATTTTGAAAGAAACTAACCACAAGCAGTCCTCGATACAAATGGTAACCAACTTCAGGCTGGAAGAGGATATTACATTGTTTATTCGAAGAGGTGGGGTAACTATTGGTAAAAGAGAAAGTTTAAGTTCACGCACTCCCACCGTGAGACAACACTCCTATGACATGAACTTGGGTAGTAACCCTGTTACTTTCACCTCAATATCTAATTTTTCTGAAGAGATGCTTATTTGGGAAGAACTTGATGGAGTTCAGTACCTCAAAGAGATGTCATCAGAAGAAAATAGGATTGAGGAGAAAACCGATTTGAACATCAGGTTCTCGAGATCACAGAGAGTCTGGCAAGTGGAAGCGGTCAATAGTGAATCATCATCTAGCCAAACAACAAGGTACATGACCCTCAATGGCCAACCAGGTCATCCAGGTGCCTCCACAGTGAGGAACTGGTTCAGAATAGAAAGGATTAGCAGGACAAGTCCCAAGTACTGAATCACCCACCTATTGTCCTAGCGTATGCGAGTCTTGCCATGTAGAGTGTGGGAATGTCGGAATTACAGGGGAGAATGGGAAGAAGTGGCTTTCAGTGTCACAACATATAGAGTTCCCCTTTGTGTTTGTAAGGGCAAGGCATTCCAAGGATCAGTAGGGAGCTCAAATGAACAATGAATAATAATTAAATCAAATCAATTAGGTGTTTGGTTTGCTTGCTTGGGCTTGTTTGCATTTTTGTTAACTTTTTTTTGTTATATGGAAGTCAGGGCACTTGATGCATACAATTCAAAAAAAAAAAGACTTTTGGTTCATGAATGTTGTCTAGCTAGTGAGTATGTCCAACTTCCATTGTCATATTGAAATAATTTCATAATAGTGAGTCTTTCTCTTTTCTTTTTTCTTGCTCCCTATGTTCTAGATTATGAAATGACAATATTATTTTTTATCAAGACCAAGTTTAATATATAACTGATTGCTTCTCTCCCTCCAAACTACTGGAAAATGATGAACATCAATTGTTGTCCTTGTCTATGCATTCTCTTGTGATTGGGCCATTGTAGTTTCTTTTTCACTTACCAAAAGCAAATTTCAAATATGAAACAGTTTGGCTGAATCACCCAATCCACACTAGTGATAGAAATCAATTTGGGCTGGAAATGCATGCAGAACTTCAATCCTCGTAACTCCCAATTACCACACAAACCAGTTCACGTCTCAGATTATTCTAATGTGCATTCACTCATCAACTGAACCCAATTATCCCATTTGCTATATATTTGTTTCCCAAAAATTTCTATCATCTCACAAGGACATTGTGGCTTGATTGTAGGACTCAAACTGATTATTAATTAACTTGCCCCGTAAACAAGGTGAGAAACTTTTGTAAACCATTCTTTAATTTAAATTTAACTTCAACGGTGTGGTTTTTTTATGGTTTTACACTTTTTTTTTTTCTATCCAAGGTTTATACACCCAAATATATCGACGGGTGTATCAATACTTTAAACCATGCATATTTTTTTAGTTTTTTTTTTCAAAATTTCATTTTTAAATGTTATTTATTATTTAATAAATAAAGTAAATAGTTTCCTGAAAGTTGAATAAAAGTTTTTTATATTATTTCAAAATTTCATTTTTTTTGTGTCAATTCGGATTTAGACTAAGGTCCATGTTAGAGTTAGGTTTTGGTTGACAAATTTAGGTTTTTGGTATCAATTTGGGTTTAGGCTAAGGTCCATATTTAGAATTGGGCACTAAATGAGTGATGGCTTAGTTAGTACGTTAGCTGGTTTGTTCCAGCAAATAGGTAGATTCAATCTCTACTACCGTCGACTTTGGGGAGGGGGGTATTAGTGTGGTGCGCTATTCAAATGACCCCTATAAGGGATTTGAGTGTATCACCATAACCAGATCCAATCCATCTAATTTATTGAGAGAAAAAAGGATTGAGAATCATGTGTGTGTGTGTGTTAAGAATGATCTTATTGAAGAGAGTAATGATCAACTTTATCGTTTAATTTAAAAATAAATAACCATATGTATGAGAAATGAAAGGATAAGGAAGTTTGTGAGTTGTTCAAAAATATATTTATTTAAGGAAAAAAAATAAAGTAATAGTGGTTGATCAAAGTTTTTATATACTTTTAACTCTTTACATATAAAATGTAGTAATAGTGATTTACCAAAAAATAATGCAGAGAAGTATGGACAGGCCCAATACAGATTTCTGATTTTCACTGCAGAGTTATAAACATTCAAAATATCAAAAACCCCACTCTATACACCAATGCCCCCGTGAATTGACATCAATTCCAAACAAACATCCACCCCAACTGTACTTTGGGCCTAAAAATTCTAACCCTGGGCTGAAACGTCATTCTCCCAAAACAATTTCATACGTCCAAGGTACGGGAAAGTACCTAAGAGTTGCCTACTCATTAATTTGTAATTATACATGCAAAAGAAGAGAGATGAATAAAGTGGAGGGAAGAGATAAAGAGACATGAAAATAAATAAATCGATTTTTTTTATTTGCATTGTGATCTTGATGTAAGCCAAATATTGGTATTATCTATATCTATACCTATGATACGATACATATGGATTCTTAGGGTCATCGATACTCATTTTTTTAAGAGTTCGAAGTTTTAAATATTATAACATAAATAGCTGTCATTAAATTACATACCCATAATTCAATAATGTCCAAATCTCTTTTATCTTCAGTTATCGCCTCCATTCAAGCTCATTGTGCATAAGACCTTCAATATCTAGAGCGATCCAATTCATTATATAGCAATTATCTCTACCTCTTCACACCAGTGGAGTAAGCCTCTCGCTGGTTTTTGCTAAAATTAATACTAACGGTAACGGAGCGTGGCACCTTTCATCTACAGCAATTTGTTTGTTGTTCATGACTTAGGCTGCTTTTTATTGGGCCAAGCCCATCCGGTTCAATGGTTTTCTGCGTAAGG